TTCCTGGGCGCGCGTGATCATTGCCAGAATTTCTGGTTCGGTCATGATAGGTTTCTGAAGTTCGTTAAAGATCTCGATCGTATCGTACTTGAGGTAATAGTGGCTCGCGATACGTCCTAAGTTGGTCGCGCTGAGACCACCAGTGGGTATATCGTATCTAATCATTCGTGCTTTGTCCAGCGCTTTCGCGGCGTTATCCACGAGCTCTTTTCGTTTCTTCTCGAGATTGGGATCGTCCTCAAGAGTTTTATAAACCATGCCATATGATTGGAAGTTTAATCTCATTCGTACGAACAAATAAGTGTAGCTTAACCATTCGACCGCTTCCGGCACATTCGATATTGTGCCTAACGCTATCTCAGCGTTTAAATTATCGGCCAGATACGTGATAAAACTGCTCTCGATCGGTATTTGATTCGTCAACAGCGACAGATAATGAGACAATTTATTGTGCGACGTGATAATGACTGCATGACCTGATGTGTCAAATTGCGGCCTACCGGCGCGACCGAAGATTTGTAAGACATCCAGTATGCCCAGATCTACAAACGAACCATGTTTCGAATCGTAGATCTCAGTTCCTCGTATGATAACTGCGTGAGCGGGCAGATTCACACCCCACGCCAACGTGGCGGTGCACACCAGTACTTTGATCAGACCCTCAGCGAAGTATTTCTCGACCAGGTTTCTATCTGAACGCAACAAGCCGGCGTGATGTATCGATAACCCGCTATTGAACAATTCACCGAGAGACTTGTTAGGCGATTTGACAAAGGCCTTGTTCATGTGCTTCGCTTGTAAGTCGGATTTAAAATATTTAAGCGTGTCATGCTTCAACGCCAAATCCTTTAGAACATTCGCCATCCTCACGGTGGCGTTTCGCGCGTGCACGAACACCATGACCTGATGGCCCTGACGTACCATCTCTACAACGTTATTGTAACACACGAGATCCATATCGCCCATTTGTTGTAGCGGTTTGATGGCCTTCACGCCGATAAAAGTCTGACTAAGCGGCACCGGTCGGAAGCGATGATCGAAGTAGAATAGTCCCTTTTTAGGATTGACGCGGAGAAATCGCGCAACATCCACATAATTCGGCAACGTAGCGGACAAGCCGACTATCCTAATCATACTCTGCGATGACTCCACTTGACGCAGAGTTCTCGCGACCAGTGCTTCCACCACAGGTCCTCGGTCACCGTGCAGCAAATGCACCTCGTCGATAATTAACAATTTCACGATACTAGTAAGGGAGATATCGCCCGTACCTTTTCTCGTGACGACGTCCCATTTTTCTGGCGTGGTCACTATCATTTGAGTCTGTTGGATCTCCTGTTTCGTCAGCTGCATATCGCCGGTCAACTCGCGAACGCACACGCCCATAGGACTGAGTCTTTTATTAAAATTGACCGTCATTTCCGCCGCTAAGGCTTTCATGGGCGCGATATAGATTATTTTGAATTGGCTCTTTTGTAATTGTCCGTCTTGAATATTCTGTTTCAATTGATGCACCACAGTCAACATTGCCACGTTTGTCTTTCCAGCTCCGGTCGGCGCGCAAATCAATAGATTTTCGTTGGTGTTGTATGCAGCATTAAAGACTATACTCTGAATTTTGTTTAATGATGTTACGCCCTCAAAAGCCATTTGACCAATTTCGTCTAAAGAAGATATCGATACGGAATCTATGTTAACGTTAATACCTTCTTTTTTTGGTGCCGGTATGTGCACTTCCTCACAGACATCATTATTCTTTTTCTTAACATCTTCCGCTAGCATCATCTTTTGCCCCGACATAAAGCTCATTTGATTAGCGCTAGCTTTAGAATCAAATACAAATGGGTAATGTTCCTGGGTACCTTTTTTCAATGTATTTTTCTTAGGAAACAGCGGTGCATGCATAGCTGTCAATGCCTCTTGTCTTTTAACTCGGAGTTCGGTCGGAATAAATTCAGTTTCAGTTTCCTCAACCTCTGACTTGACCTCTCGTTTGTTCGCCAGTTTAGTTAATTTTTTCTCTTCCTTACGTACTTGTTTACATAACTGCTTTTCCACTTCGGATTGTACCGTCACTTGACCACTAATTATAGGTCCTTGCACAGTTTGTGGTCTCTTTGACACTTTTAAACATGCTGAATATGCTGATACAATGGCTTTCCGATGTTCGATAATATATTCAATAAATTCTAGATGTTCATAGCCTAACATATCAAATAATTCGGTTTGTATATTCTCAGTTTGTATATTCTTCAGCTTATCTACTATTGTCGTTACAAGATTCTGATATGTCATTGCAACAACTTTGCAACAGTTTTTTAATCTTTTTGTAAATGTTGCCTTGTCAAACTGCAATCAACAAAATAGGGAAAAAAATTGAAAAAACATTAATTAAAGATTAATTTATTTATCCATATCCATATCTTACTCACTACAGATTTCTTCTGTATTGGAGATGTTGTGTCATGTATCATCATTGTAAAGTTATCAGTACTTGGATTTATCCCTTGTGTAGACATATTGCGAAGTCCATTGGTATTAGGCCATACAACTCTTGCTTGATTATAGGGAATATTTATACCAAAACGTGGATTGGAGGCGTTCATATTTTCTTTAGATTCTGATAACAATGTTATAGCTTCCTCATAACATTGTTTCTGAATTTTTGTGATTATCTGAATAAATTAAATAGTCAAATGATATAAAATGATTAAATAGTCAATGACATAACATATATCAATATAAATTATAGAATTACATACTTGCATCATATTTTCTACAGACTGAAATGTCAGATGTCCTACTTTTTGCCCAAGCATATCATATTTTTCTCGCGTTAAGGTTTTGTCTTCAATTAATAAACGTAATGCATAAACTGTGAATTCGTTTATGGCATCTGAAGGAGCACCAACTAAAAAAAATGAATAAAAATTATAAGGTATTAAGTATTATTTAATTAAGGTATTAAGGTATTAATATTTAATTAAGTATTAAATACAATGTGCTGCCCATATTCATATTCCATAATTACATATTAAATGTACAATTAAAAATATAAATATGTAAGAAAAAAAACAGACTCATTAATTTCCGAAAGTTAATTTGGAAAATTATATCTGTTAAAGATAAGAGATAAGTATGTTTTATCTTTAATACTCACCTAAAACTTGTTGCACAATATCTCTCAATGCTGATAAATGTACCATAAAATCTTTAGATGCATTTCTGCATATGTCATGCCAATCAAGAGTGCTATAATATATAAATATGTAAGATTATGAAGGTGTTGCAAAAACTAAGCACTGTATCTTATATTTATATTTCTATTAAATACAATATACATATTATCTTTTAGAAGCATTGTAAAACCATGCTTTTATGATGATCATAACAAAAAGAAAATGTAAAATCTTCTTTTACTAATTGTTTTAACAAAATTTTTTAAATTAAAACATTAGATTAATTAAAATAAAAAAAGGAAGGGAAAGTATACTGTATAATGCAAATTTAAAAAATGCATGGTTATATAACACGACTGTCCCAAAAGAATTGAACATTCTCTATAAACACTCTCTTAAATACAGAATTTACTTCTTAATTTTCAATTTACCTTTTGAATTCTTTTGCTCGTTCTTGCTTTTCTTGCCTTTTTCTCATTAAATCATTTGGTTCCAGATCTAATGCTTCTTCTCTGCGCTCAAGAGAAGTAAACATGCGCAAGGATCTAGTAATACGTGGTAATTTCGCCATTGTGTACTACCTGTTAGTTAAATTTAATTTAATATTAATATAAAATATAATATTATGGTTATTGTAATAAAACAATCACTTTATAGGTAGGTTATGAAGATGATCAAATATCAAATTATACAGGATAAACAACAAATTATAATCATAGATCTGAATTTAAAATTGCGTCAAAATAAGAAGAAGATACAGAACTTTTTTTAATATTCCAATTATTTGCAATTCTTATTACGAATCTTTTGAATCTTATGATGATATCAGATTCTAATCTAGAATTGCAACGTGTTATCTGTCTGATATCAAATTGAGCTAATATATGTAATTAAATAACATATAAATAATTATTAATAAATAATGTTAGAAACATATTTTATATTTTTGAAAGATGCAAAGATATAAAATCATAAAATTGTTCAATATATATGATATATATATACTATGTGAAATCTTTTCAAAGTCAATGTATTACGTGATATAATGCAATATGTACTTCAGAAAAAAGTAGAATTTTTCAAAGAGATATTCTTTTTTACATTCGTAAAATTTTAATAAAATAAATATTTTAAATAAAAACACACCCATATATATCTAAAACGATGAATTAAATTAACGAAGAGCTGTCGTTCCTCGACACTTGAGAAATATGTGTCTTATAAACGTCAAAATAGTGACAACTACTATATTCAGTAATCTATATAGTTTGCGGACATTGAAATACATTTGTTATAAATAATAATTGCATTTCGATCGATTTACATATCGACAAAGAATTTCAGTAACAAGAACGGTGATCGTCAATTATCGAAACAATGCAGAAAAAATTAACTTTTCGTAATGCAATTTCCATAGCACCGCGATAATATCAGATAATACTTCCGTCGATCACACTTGATCGCACTTTCGTGATTGTCACGCGTCACGCGATATCACCGATTCGAATCCGCCATATTTATTTTCTCATTGCAGTGTCAACATAGAGCAAAATAAATACTAGATTTGTGTAAAGATGTCCCTAGGCTACAATCAAAAATCTAATTGTTGGAGTAGCATTTGATTGACCAATCAGGACAAAGGAAATAATTTCTTCTCTTTTTATCGATGACATACGATAGATTTTCGAACGCAACTTCGTTGCAACGCGCCGATTGGCTCGATGTACATGCATACATACATATGTGCAACATATGTGAAACGAATGACTCTAGCCACGGAAAGCTGTCAGTTGCGCGACCAAGGGATCTTTTTCCTCATCGATGACATACGACACGCTGAGACACGAGGAATGTCTTCGTCGCGGTGTTTTCACGGGACAATCGCTTGGTGGTGAATGGTGAACGTGTTGTGTCGACTGCTGTAATCGGGATCGCGGATGAACGCTGTGCGCTTGGAATGAGACCCTCGTCATCGTTATCGTCGCCGTCGTCGGCGTCGCGCGATCACACGGGGTTACAGCATCGTTGCAAATGACGCAGACTCGGCTGCTAGGCCGAATCCTACCGCCGGGCGTTCGTCTTCGCGTAGGAAAAATGTCCGGGGATATCGGGAGTAGTGCGGCGTCCTCCCGTTGATCTCGACGATTTTTTTGCAGAAAACAAACGCACGCACAACGCGTCCGGGAGCATCCCTCTGCTTTTCCTTGCCGTTGCGAGGATTGATGAATGCGATCGAGACGAAATATCGTTTCGCGGCAGGTCTTGGTTGAGACAAACAATCACCGCGACGCCCGGATCGGCCGACGAACCGTCTTATAACAATAATAAGGTATGCCTTTAGCTTCTTTCTGCTTTAGTTTGTTTCTGCTTCCCCTCTCTCTCTTAGTGATTTCGCGCGCGTGACTCATTCCCTACTCTCGATGGAGTTTGTCTTCCCGCGAGACGCTCGCACGATCCTCCCCTACCCCTTCCCTGTAATCTTGTTTTGACAAGTACATACTTGATGCGTCAAAATCGTCGACGAGATTTTCTCAGATTTACAAACGAATCAGACGAACGATTTCTTAATCGCGAATATTCGCGTGATTCGCCGAATCATCGCGTCGCTTAGCTTTTGCGAGTCTGGTCCCGTTTTCAACGTTATAATATAATTTTTCATGTTATATTTGATATATTATCTAAATGTTATATTGTACGTTTGTTTATTGAAAATGAATCTGTCAATAGCATGATAAAACGAAAGTATTGAACTTAATATAGATTGTGAGTGGTAAAAATAACAATAATGCATGATGTATATTGTCATTTTTCAGCTTTCTATCAAGACTGCCAATGTAAGACTGAATCACTGATGCATGGGATAATCATCTTTGATGTCAAGTACGGTCAGCATCAATGGGAAACTGTTTCTCGTGCTTCAAGGTGCCACTTCCACCATCAACCAATACAGATCAATCAATTGCATTGGAGCATAAAGACGGTAAAGATACATTCAATGCTACTATATTGTTGTAAATATCAATTAATTGTAATAATATGCTTATATCATTATATCATAATCATGGACTTGATATTGCATACTGTAAGATCGCATCAAATCTGCTTGTTTGTGAGAGAATATTGTAAAAATTTTAATTTTTTTTATATAATTACATTTTACATTTATTGGAAACTGCAGAAATAATATAATAGATTATTTGTTTATGTATTTAGTTGTTAAAGTGTAACTACTCTTTTATATAGTTCTATAGATCCAAAATTTCATTATATTTTACAGAAACAATGGAACTCAGAGGTTTGTTCCCAAATTCTTGCCAACAATCTGGTCCTTTTGTGCCTGAAACACATGTAAATGGGAATAGAAAGTCTATAAGTACACTATCTACATTTAATAATGTTGGCTCAGATAACTGTGGATCTGTGCCTAGTGTACAAAATAATCTGCGCTTATCACGAGGATTTTACGCGCGATTACAGCCATTAGGACGATCTGGTACATCATCCGGTCTTAATTTAGCTACTGAACCGAAGCAACAAAAGGAACCATCAGAGAGCAAATTAAATGCACTTTTTGACCAATATAAGGTACAAAATACAGAAGATATGTGTTAATTTCTATGTAAAAATATATAGATTATAACAAAAAAAATATTTATGTAGAGCATAATAAATTGCTTTAATGTAATAATCTTGGATTATACAATAACTTTGTAAGCTTATAAGAAAGAGAGTTATAACATAAATATGATTATTTCACATATTTATTTTTAAGGATCCTCATGAAGATGCGATATTAGCTGATGGCATAGAAAGACTCTGTGATGATTTACAGTTATCACCTGATGAATTTAAAGTTCTTGTGCTTGCATGGAAGCTAAATGCAGAGCAAATGTGCCAATTCACACGCCAAGAATTTGTCACAGGATTAAAGGCTATGAAAGTCGACAGTATACGTGGTATACAGGCACGATTGCCTGAGATTGTTCAGGAATTGACGGTCAATAGTGATTTATTCAAAGATCTCTATCGATTCACATTCCGATTTGGCCTTGATGTGACGTCTGGTCAAAGAATTTTACCGGCTGACATGGCAATCGTCCTTTGGAGACTTGTCTTCACGATACGTGAACCTCCACTCTTGATGAAATGGCTTAACTTCCTCAAATGCCATCACATCCGGGGGATACCTAGAGATACTTGGAATATGTTTCTAAATTTTGTCGAAAGCATTGGTGACGATCTTGGTGCTTATGATGATGCAGAAGCATGGCCAAGTTTATTCGATGACTTTGTAGAATATGAAAACGACCAAATGAACCAAAATATCACTAAAGATGATATTATGAAAAATACTTCTATCGACAAAGATTAATGTTCATATTTGAAGGAAAATAACAGTGAAGCAGAAAAATATTATTGTCTTAAATCCGACCTTTGAACAGGATCGTCTAAATGGCATTATTCTAAGAATGATCGACCTTTTATTTTTATTAGTATAATCGAGGCAATTATATATTCCTGATTATTACTTTTTTAAAAGATCTTATATTTGTTGATATTTGCGTCATTTTGTTTATATTCGGCGCATTATCTTTCCTAATGTAAATATATAAAGTTTATTTAATGTAATATTACTTAATTACGTCTTGTCATATATATATATATATATATATACATATATTTATATAGATACGCGAGAAATTTCCGTATTGTTAATTTTAATATACTGGCAGCAAATTACATATTATTATGTATCTTTTTTGTAAAAACAAAGCATATAAATTTACTACAAAGTTGTTTTTTTACACTTTGTTTAACCATGATAATATAATTTAATCATTACACATAATTGCATAAGATTATTGCTTTCTTTCACAAGTCGTGATATTTAGAAATAATGCATTTTTGAGTTATAAATTTCAACCACTTTTTACATAATCATTATCTTACATAAGAGAAAGATGATCTAGAAAATATATAAAAAATTATAAAAAAATTTGATACAGTAATGAATAAAACTGCAGCTTTAAAAAAGACAAATATTGCTAATAGATAATAACGAGATAAATATTGAATATATAAAAAAACATAATAAATATTGATTTAATAATATGTAGCGTCAATTTTTCTTTTTTATTTACCGATATAATATATATATATATATATGTGTGCGTGTGTGTGTCTGTTATACGATAGTTTCTTTTCTAATTTGAAATTTTAAGCAGCTAGAGAGAAATATTTTATCAAATTGTCAATTTTATATATATAAAATATAAAATTATTTTATATATATAGAACATGATAAATCATACATTAAAAAGATTATCTATGCATTATTCTAATAATTTTGTTAAAATTCACATAAAAAGAAAATATTTACTACAAATAACATAATTCCGCTATAAATTCTGTGTTTAAAATTTTTTGTGAAAAACTACAATGAACATCTTGAGAAGATTCTGTTCAAAGGAATTTGTGCAGGGAAACATGAAAAATGTAATTTTGCATAAGGACAAAAGTTTAGAAAGAATTCTCACAATCCAAATTTGTGATACAGTGTGTATAAGTATATACAGTTTTCAATGCATTAATATTTCTTACATTTTTTGAAAATACTGTTAAAAGTAAACGTAAAAAAGAATGAAATATCTCATTATACAAAGATTCAAAAATTTTCTTTTGACTATATATATAATTAGGATGGTGTGTACATGGCATTAATTTGTTCCAAACTTACATAAACATATTTAATGTGACGCAATATACTTGCTATAAATTTCGGTGCAACTTTAGCATTTATAACAATATTACAAACAATGGAAAATGTACCAATTTAATTTTATTTGTTCTATTCGTTTTTAACTTTATTTAAGAGAAAAAAAGCCTTGATAACGTGCTGAGAAAAGGAGGGATATTAGCTGAGTATTAGTACAGTGAACAATGATACACAGTGACTTGTAGATTATTAAGAGAAAATGTGGAAGCCCTTTTTACATCTTGCAAGCATACAAGATTGTCTATATACATGTATATAGTGCCATGTCTTTCTGAAACAACAGGGAGATCTCTATCGAATTAATATTGAAAGAAATTAATGGAAAATCAAGATATTGATGGCTTCAACAAGAAGATATATATTTGTACTACGATCTTATCTCTATAATTTTCTATCCCAATGTGAGCCTGAATGAAAAAGAATCGACATTCTGCAAGATATTTTCAGAAGTATTGTGCTTGAAAATGTTCACCGTCCTTTTGTCCGCAGTACCTGATACAACAGGTACAATATATAGATACCAAGGCTTGAAAGTACGATTTAAATTTTAAAATGCTTATGCAGAGGATTTTATGTGAAATATATATCGCGCAATATACGTGTGCGGACGCGCGATATATATATTTTTAAATTACGATTATTATTTATATATTACATATAAATGTGGAGTGATAACATATATTGCACTATTATTGAATATTTATTTATGTATAAGATTTTACGCGATTATTCTTCAAGTCATTTTCTTGTAAACAATTTTAGAAATTTTGTCCTTCAAATATAAATTATATCGATATACTTATTCTCTCAATCTCGTATATAAAAAAAAAGTTTTGATGACAACACTGATGAATTTATATAGATTTATTCTAAAATTAAAAATTTCCTCTGTGTCAGCATTACCTATCAATTAAAATTTGTACATCTCAAATATACAAATATACATTACTCAGCAGATGCACATGTATTACTAATATATACTTGCTTTCTATGAATTGAACAAATGCTTAAAGTTAAATTCAAGCAGATGTTTACCTATAAGAAATTTTAGATACTTATCTGTATGTGTATTATCTGGCTGCAGTGGCTCATGATTTTTTAACGCTTCCATTTAATTGTTAAAGTATAGTATAGTGTTAAGAGAATCGCATAGGGCGACTTTCATTGTGATAATTCCTGATCAGGTCAAGCCTGATAAAAATAAAAATAAAAAATATCATTGTCAAAAATGAATAAAGAAGCTAAAATAACAGTGATACCAGTAATTAAGAATAAAAAGTGATATATATATATATATATATATATCTATATAAACAAACTCTGCGTACTGGTATAATAGATATTTATAATTAAAATTGTACATTTCTCATAAAAATAAATTGATTTTGATTCTATACACAGCTATATAACTAAAATACATTATTAAATAACTAAATAATTGATAATGAAATTAATGAAATCTAATTTTTAATGCGATTGAATACAATCCATTCTTTCTATTCTAAAGTTGTTAAAATCGACCTTTTCTTCTATTTTAATTTTGTTTCTCTTCTATTTGTAAACATTCTTATTTTTGATATATGCGTTGAATGGAAATGCTTTATCTTACATTTGCTTTTTTACTCTAATCACGTGGCAAATGTAAATGCGAAAGAGCATTCTGGTCTTCATTCTGGCATCACTACGTTCGACTTGACAAGTATTGGAAGCGTTTGATCGATCAATCGGAACAAAGAAATCGTTGCGCCAATTAGTCAATAAAAAAAAATTAGTGCAAATTTATAAAAAAAATGATAAATTCATTATTATAAATTAATTACAATTACAGTCTTATAACGCGAGTATCTTTATATTTAGAATCGAGTATCATCATCTTATCTCTTCGTCGTTGATAAACCCAGCTGTATAGGTTATAACGAAAACCTATCCTATGACTCGGCTGTCGATGAAGCTCGCCGTGTAACTTGAGATGCGTTCGAAAATCTTACTCGGTAGACTAGCGTTCGATTGACCAATCGGAACAAAGAAACCTTCGCTCTCTTTATCCTGATTGGTAAATCAGGCTCTACTTTTACGAGTAGATTTTCGAACGCAACCTTGAATCCTCGACACCGTATTTGCGCTTATTTGTGCCCGCAACGTCGTCAAAGCAGCTTCCGTTGCCACTCGCCTTTTGACGCCGCGAGACTATCGGTGGGCCACGCTGGGCGTCTTCACGCAGTGAGTACTCACTTGTACCCACTTGTACAAAGTTTGCACAGGTGATTGTTGACGTTACGTCGCGACTGCTGGGAGCCCGCGTTGCCGTAATCGAGCGTCACCGCCGTTTCAGTTTAACCTAATCGTTGTGTTTTTCCGCGGAAACTTTTTCTCGTCTTGAGAATCTTTCGTCCTCGTGAATCGCAGTTCACTTCATACGTATGCATTGTCTACTTGCGATCATCGTCGGCTGTTCTCGTGAGGAGGTATGTTGCATCGTTCGTATCTGTGTGTTGTATAATGGTAGTTTAGAGAGAAAGAGAGAGAGAGAGAGAGAAAGAGATGAGCTTTGTTGAAGTGTTGTGATATGTATCGCGTTATAATGTATAGGATTAAAATATGCCACGGTATGTGTTTTCATGGCTGGAACTTTTATCTTTTTTTTTAATTTACGTATATATAGTACGCTACACATATGTCAGTGTTTTCTTTTTATGTACATTTTTGTTACGCTCCTCTCCACTTTACACTTTTGTTACAAGATTCTATATTAAGAATACAAGTTCAATTCTTCATGTTAAATATTATATCGTATTTATCTCTGAGAAGAATAAAATAAAATTTTTATATAATGTATTTTATCTTGCTAATATTATAATGCTTGATAATTATAATCTTATATATATTTTTTCAGGCTATTTAAGTAGTAACAATGTCTGTACATTACAAATTTAAATCTACTTTGGACTATGACACTGTGTCGTTTGATGGACTACATATTTCAGTGGCAGATTTAAAAAAGGCTATATTTCATCAGAAACGTATCGGCAAAAATACAGATTTTGATTTACAAATTACAAATGCCCAAACAAAAGAAGGCAAATATCTTATTTTATTATTAAGTGCTTCATTTTACTTCCAGCTTGTAAAATTATACAAATATATTGAATAATTAATTATATTTATTAAGATTATAATTTGTATAATAAAATATTGATAATATATTTTAGATTACACGGATGATAATGCATTAATTGCTAAAAATACTAGCCTTATTGTTGCAAGAGTTCCATTAACAATACAACAAAAACGCTCTTGGGATCGAAATGAAACCCCTCCATTTAGTAATTTAAAGGACGAAGCTAATTTGAACAGAGCTGTAGATCTCACAAGATTAGATGGTTCGGAGGAGGATAAAATTCGTGCGATGATGACACAATCAACTCAGGACTATGATCCCTCAAAGTATACAATTTTATATATTTTATTATTTTAATAGACATAATTTATTACTCAATTTATTGCAATATAAATATGTATATATATATATGATATTTAAACAGTTATATGAAAATTCGTGGAGCTAATCAGACTGGTGATGTACCTGCAAATTATCGTTGTTATAAATGTCATCAACCTGGACATTGGATAAAAAATTGTCCATTGGGTACAAATCAGGAACCAATTGAAATCAAGAAAAGCACAGGTATTCCCAGAAGTTTCATGGTACCTGTTGAGGGACCTTTGGTACCTGGTGCTATGATGACACCTACAGGACATTATGCTGTTCCTGCTATTGATCAGTAAGTTTTAATTATATAAATATATATTACAATATCTCTAGAAAATATTACAATATACATACACATAAAAGAAAAAAAAAAAAAATATATATA